AAACTTGATTGATTTCCGTTGTTTTGCCTTGTTGGTTTTGAACTGATTTGACAGTTCATTTGGATACACGGTCAATAAGATCAACCCAAGTTTTAGTTCAGTTTACTCATTAATCTCAAAAGGTGATAACTCGAGTCGCAACACTCCGTGCGGCGCTAGTGTTTCTAACGTATTTTAATTTAAATTCTTACACATAATTTTTCGAAAAAAATTTCAAGCTTGGATGTCTGTTCTCTGTGAGTAAACCATCAACCAAACTGGAGTACGAAGTATTGTTTGGTAGCTTGCTGGATTCCTCCTCCTTTGCTTGAAGATAGCCGGGGTCCATCGGGATAAGTGATGGCTTTGCCGTTTCGAGTCCGCATCACGACGTCAGCCGCTGGATGTAGCACTGCTGGTTGAGCAGAAACCTTCCATCATTTTCCCGCTCCACCTGTATGCCCAGGTTCTGCCGCACATCGCCAGGGGAAGTGGTTTTGAACTTCCTCGATAATGCTTTCAGAATCGCTTTATATTCCGCCTCGGTCTCACACACGATGAGCATATCGTCGACGTACAGAACGATGAACGCTTGCTTCTCACCCTTGGTCCTTACGTATAGGCACTCATCAGCAGTTGATTGTAGAAATCCCAGCTTCTTGAAGCAATCGTCAATCGTCTGGTTCCAAATTCGACCGGATTGCTTCAGACCGCAGAGCCTTTTTTTCAAATGGCAAACTTATGCGGGATTCCCAGTCTCGTATCCTTTCGGTTGACGCATGTATAGGGCCTTGGTAAGCGTCCCACATACAGGTAGGCCGTCTTGACATCGACGTGTTTCACTAGAAGTTGACGACGGGTGGCAATGGTTAGCAAAGAACGAAATGTTACCTGTTTTGCCACCGGAGCGAACACCTGCTGGTCGTAGTCAGTGCCGCACGTCTGACTAAAACCTTGTGCGATCAGTCTCGCCTTGTAGTGTGTCACGTTTCCATGGTCGTGCAATTTCCGCTTGTACAGCCATTTGCAGCCAACCGCCTTTCGTCCATCTGGAAGGGCCTCAACTGTCCATGTCGAGTTATTTTGAAGGGACTGGATCTCTTCTTCCATCGCAGCTATCCACGATTCGCTCTCTTGTCCGCTTACTGCTTCTTCATACGTCCTCGGTTCAGTAGCTGCTGCCATGTTGCTTGCTTCATGGTACCGCTGTGGGGCGACACCTTTGTTGGACCGCTCTGGTCTTCGTACGATGGTTTCATCGAAATCTTCATGAAGGGACTCGTTGCAAGAATCGAAGTCCGTGTCGGTTACGTCCGACCTTTCATTGTCATTTTCTTCGTCAATCTCTGGATCGTTTGGATCCGGAACTTCTTGATTTGCTTCAGCCATAGGAGGTAACGGCTGTAGAATTGCCTCGTACGACTCCTCCTCCAGATTAGGAACATCGGTACCGGGTTGGACCAACTCCTCCTCAAATAAATTGACGTCTCGACTGATCAGCTTGTTAGTGGCCATATCAATGAATCTGTAGGCCTTGTGGTTACTGGAATAGCCGACGTACGTCATTTCCTTCGACTTATCCTGGAGTTTGCTTCGCTTTTCCTTCGGCACATAGACAAATGCTCTGCACCCAAACAATTTCAGACGTGAAACGTTCGGTTGACGTCCCCACCAAAGCTCTTATGGTGTGATCTCCACAGCGTGAAAAGGTAGGTGGTTCTGTAGGTACACGGCCGTAGCGGTTGCTTCAGCCCAAAATCGTGCAGACATCCTGGCGTCCATTAGCATGCATCGACACATTTCAATGATGTATCGATTTCGTCTCTCCGCCACTCCGTTCTGCTGTGGCGAATATCCGGCAGTAAACTCGGGGTGGATTCCATGCTTGCGATAGAACTCCAGCAGTACTTCGCTCGCATACTCCCCTCCCCGATTAGACCTGATGCGCTTGGGGTACTTCCCGAACTGAGTTCTGCGACCTCGGATTTCGAGGTAGTCTCCAGTGGTCCATACACGTCCGAGTGGATGAGGTCTAATGGTGCGGAGGTCTTCTTTTAGGAGGTCTTGGGGACGGGAGTTCGAGCCTGCTTTCCTTTCACACAGCATTTGCAACCTTCACATATTCCGCAATCTGCAACTTTCATACCGGTAACAAGCTTCCTTTTCAGCAGAACATCCAACGCATCAGCTTCCCGGTGTCCAAACCGTCGGTGCTGGCTGTGCTGGCAATCTCGCTTGTGAGATGCAGTTACCCTCGCGGCGACTGCTTGTTCTTGCTTATTCAGCCGGTATAATCCTCTGCACTTCGTCGCAGATGCGATTTTCTTCCCATCGACGATGATTTTGCACTTCAATTTTCTCAACAAAAATATGTGGAAGCACCAGCCGGATCACTGCAAAATCGAAACAGAAAACAAAATATTCTATGTGGATGATGTTTACAAGCACCTGCGATGGATAAATTAATCAGAAAAGGTAAAAACATTTTCCTCTTCCTATGCTTCATGGCGAAAATTTCAGCCCTCATCACTCTTTTGATGGTTCCCTTATTCACCACCAGATGCTGAAACGATCGCTTAGTTTCTATTGGATTCGCCTATTCAACCTTCGCCTTTCGAGTGGTCATAGTAAGCACTGACAAAAGACTTGCTGACAGCTTTGGCACAAACAAAACGTGGTTGAGACGAATTTTATTCGTGCTTCCAGAACCGTCCACACTTATGATCACACCAGCTTCAGTACCAGCGACCGCTACTACACGCCCGTCAGCCAACTCCACTTCGCCTGTAGCCGGTTCTAACTCGTCGAAGAAATCCCTGTTGGAAGTCATGTGCAAACTTGCGCCGGAATCGATGACCCAGTCGTTCGCCGTGTCGCCAGTTCCGATGGTCAGCGCGTACATGTTGCTGTAGCCACCATCCCGCGCGGTCTTCGCATTCTGTTTCTTCGATCCGAATTGCTCTCTCTCTGTAGCTGCTTGCAGTCCCGTTGTTTGTGACCAGGCTTCTTGCAGAAATGACACACAATCGGCTTTCGTCCCACCGCTTTCAGTGCCGTCCCTCCGGTTGCGTTACGATTTTGCTTGCTTACCTCATCCAGTAGCTTCTCCCGGATCAGGTTCAGCGTCAAGGCATCATCCGTACGTGTTTCGATGGCAGTCGTCAATGCGTTGAATGATTTCGGCAATCCTCGCAAGATAAAGGCCGCCATGGTATCCTCTCCCAGGTCCTTTCCTGCGCTGCACAGCTTCGTGTACAGGTCTTCCATCTTCGTGAGGTAATCGTCCATATCCTCACCTTCCGTGTACCGGGTTTCGCACATCCGTTGTAGTAACGAAACCCTAGTGGACGCCAAACTGATTTTCCTCCAGCAGTAGCAGAATCGTTGCACGGGCCTTTTCATCGCCTTCCACCCACGCCGCCGAGGCACCCGCCTCCGCTTGACCTTCTCCAGCTGCCGGTGGTTTGTTCTTTATGTAGGTCCACAAACCTTCCCGGATCAGCAGCACTTCGGTGCGAAGCTTCCATGCTTCATAATTTGCGTTGTTCAGCTTCGTAGAATTCATCAGCTCCATCCTATCGTAGGTTTGGCTTCGGTCTTGAATTTCTAAAAACTTCTCCAGGAAAAAAACTTACACGTTGCTAAGGGCCCATATAACCTGTTAGCAGAGCGTGAAAAACAACTGATCGTTAAGGATTGTAACAGTGGAATGAATTTTTTTTTTTAATAATCGTTCTTTACAGGCTATTTTGATAGGTTTAGGTTTCAGCTGGTTGCTGTGATTGTTCGTTATCTCAACACAAATTGGCGTTGACGAGAGCTGTTACTCCTATGGAAAAATCTCATATGTAACTGTCAGTCTATGTGTGCAACATGGCGGACTTTTTCTTATTCTCTCACTCCAACGCAAAACCCCATAGAGAACTGTCAAAATGTGTGTGAAGAAACGTCACTTCGGGACTGGTGTCAAGGCGAATTGCAGTACGTACTCCGTTCCTGTTACCATTAAAGGGTTTTTGATGAGTTTTTCGCTCGGAAGGCTTCTCCAGGGAACATACCATTTTCAACTGAAATGCTTGCTCATTTGTCCAAATGTTCACGCATTTTTCCTCTAAACAGCAAGTTTCTTCAAAGGGTTGCGCTCCAACAGTTCAAAGGAAAACACAATTTCCATCCCATTTGAACACTAACACTACATTGAAAGACGGAAAAATCTCAACGCAAAGCAAGCGTGTTGTTTTGTTATGTGAATGATACGCACACGTCACCGTTGTTGCCATCGTCGTCGTCAAGGCCTTCTTTATCCCTTTCGAAAAAAAAAAACTTCCTTTTTCCAACCAGTAGGTGAGACCCCAACTGCTGCAAACACACGCCGGAAGATGAAAGAATTCAAATTTCCTGAACTGGCAAATGTGACGTCGTCGTCGTCGTCGTCGTCGTATCACTCGTATCAGAGCAATTATAATTCCTCCCACTTTTGCATCGGAGTGGATTTAAGGACAACAGCGGTGAAGCCACTTGCTTTGGAGTTGTCGTCGATTGCTCATTAGACGGCACCCTTTTTTTTATCGCCACGTTTTGATCGCTGCAGCGCTGGATGCAGGAAATTAATAATCGTTTTATTTGATAAATAACCTTCAACGCTCGGTCGGTGGATGGCAACGACTTTTGACTTTGAGTCCGGAACTTAAGGCTACACAGAGAGCCGGGCGTATTGTAATGAAACGTTTTTTTAATTTTACGACACGTGGCAGCTTCGTATAGCCTACTTGATGTCGACTGCAGTAGAGCTTGATGCTGAGCAATTTTCTTGCTTTGATTATTTTGATGCCGAAATCGATTCCGGATTCTTGCCAGATTACTTTGATGCCCTTTGATTTTTTTTTTGTTATGAATGGATGCGATAAGATCGTCTCTGCCGGGTTGAGTGTCGAGTTGAGTGGGTGATGGCGAAAATCCAATTTTCTTATTGGCAGGAGGAATTTTTATGAGATTCTAACGATTCTTTCTTTGCATTTTAGGCATTTCATGACGGACAAGGTGCACATCCTGCAGGCGGTTCTGCACTTGATTCAGGTTTCGGTTTCCTACGTTCTGATGTTGATAGTGATGTTGTTCAATCTGTGGCTGTGTTTGGCGATTGTAACCGGCGCTGCCGTTGGGTACTACTTCTTCGGCTGGATTCGCCAGAGCAAGATGGACCCGAACGAGTGCTGCAATTGACAACTGGATGACGCTGGGAGCCGGAATGACGAAGATGCAGGCGAAAGAGATGGACTAACGTTGGGCTGCCGATGTGATTGAAGGATTTTTTTTTGTTTTAGTTCGCGGATTGTAAACAATGCAATCGATTGAGATGAAACCTCCACTTCCGTAGATTTAAGTGATCGCAAGTATCGTTGTATAGTAATAGTAGGATTTGAATTTCGTTTCGTAGGTAGGAATTTTGAAAATATACTGTGTAAATAGATTTGTACATAACCACAACGCCTGCTTTTTTTTTCAACCCGATCTGCCAAACGCAAATTCGGAAGCCATCGCATCGCAGAGTAAGCTGCCTCGCCAGAGAAGAGCAAATGTTTTGATAACTAATTTGTAACCTCATCGTTTCATTTACCTTTCTGTATATTCCAAACGCCTCTTTTGTTGGTTGCAGCATGTGTGCTTCCATTGTGCTGTGGTGGCCCTTTCGAGCTCAGGTAAGAAAGAAGCCCTAATAACCATTGATAGAATATAAGAGAAAAACCGACAAACTAAACAGTCAGTCAGTGTAATAATGATAAGCCCCCAGAGGCCGATCTTTTCTCATATGCGTAGGTCAGGGAAGGTGCTACCGTATTGTTACATTCAGAAAGCACAGAAAAAAAGGAAAACACGCACCGAAAGAATCTACCCCGGTCGAATCGGTTATTGTAGACCGCGCGGCAACTCGATCCTCTTTTCACTGCGGTGTACGAAGGTATGAAGAGATCATTTCCCAAAGCAAACATTGAGCTGCCGCCGGTTCCCCAAAAGGGTCCCGATGTGTGCGTAATCCTCTTAGGCAAAAATTATTATCTCCGATCGGGATTCGGATAGGCCTGGCGCAAAGCACACTAAGCTCAGCCCAGTGCTCAGTAGGCTTTGTGAGATCGTCTCACTCAGTAGGCTTGATGGGTGCGCAATCTCATTGTCATAGAGAGTACCTATCACTATCGTCGTCGGTCGGTTGGTCACAGGCGGCTATGACCTGCTTCAAACAGGGAGACAGTGAGGATAACTGTCATGTCTTCTTGCGGTGCGATGCACAGTCGGCTTGCTTGGACCTCCATCGTTTGAAATGTGCCATTCTGTTCTGTTGGCTTTTGTTTCAACGCGGCAGGCCAACATGTGCCACGCCACGCGAGAGGAGTGAAGGTACCGTTGCTGAAAGTGAAGGATGAAATATGTGACATGGTTTATTTTATTTTTTTCATTGTTGGTGTTTGAGCGCAGCGAATTCCTTTGCCGTATAGTTTTCGGTGGGTGTCAAATGAAGTGCGCTCAGGCGCGGCCTAAAAACAAAAGGGAAACCTGAAAGTTGAATCTCTGTCATAAAATGCCAAACGAGCATATGTAGAGAGAGCGGAAGTGGGATGTCTGGCGTGCGTTCTTCGGACCCTTTTTAGACTGAGTAGATTGTAAGATTTTACCGAGAATTTGTCGGTTTTAGGCTACTGGTGTTCAGGAGAAACTTATGCCTGTTTTGTTTTCCGTCGATGTTGTTTTCCGTGCTGAGCACCAATGCTACCGATGCCAGGGAGGCAGGCAGCTCCCACACCTGGAACCTACCTATCGACCCATCAACTCATGAACCGGGGACCAACGGCTTTACTTCCCTTCCGAAGGTAAGGCGTGATCAGAAATGTTATGCCTCAGAACAACCCGGCGGCGCCGACTAGGATTGAATCCAGGTCTACTGGGGTGAGAGTTAATCACGCTTACCACTACACCACCGGCGCCGCTGAAAATTCATAGTAAATTTATTAATATTTTTTCAATTTAAAATCAGTTGCATTGAAGCTTGTACGTTATATCAGCGAAAATTAGGGCAATTTGGAAATCAGAACTGTAACTTCACTTCGTGACGGTTGAATTTAAGGATGGGACTGCGATTACTTTGCTTAATGGGACAAACTGAATTGATGTTGTTTTCACATTTTTCATGATCAAAGTCCGTTGTTTCATCACATTATGATTTTACATTGTTCATATATTCCAATTGATTAGTCTGAAGGGCTCTTCATCTTTGTTTAATTTTTTATTCTAATTTACGTGTTTACGTTTTTTAACTAGTTTACAAGATACACCTTTGGGGTGTGTTTCGCTTGAATTTAAAAATACTTTGAAAACCTTCCTAACTACTAAGAGCCTAACCTAATTAGCAAGATTGCGTATGATCTCGTGATTTGATCCCAGACAGGCGTCTCTGAATCTTTCGAGGATGAGCGTACTCCGTTCCTCCAGTGTCTGAAGACCAGCCAGCGGTGGATCTCAGAATTTCAAGTCCGCAGGGGACTCTTGAGGATCATCATAAGGATCTTGTTCTGGATCCTTTGGAGTTTGAGGTGATGGCACTTAGCACAGCTCTCCCATATTGGCGACAAGCTTGTTTTTAATGGAAAGGGTGGACTTTCTGTTGATAAGCAACCTAATCAAGATGTTGCACTTGGTGGATGATTTGTCCACAGGCTTGATGGAGCCTCGCTCGCGAGTTTGAAATGAGCCGAGCGAAGCATTTTTCTGAGGAGTAGAATGCCTTCTGCTAAATCATCCCACTGAGTTTCAGAGCGTGTGAGCGAACTCTGAGACTCTGCGTCGAACAAAAAAGTCATCCGGAGTCTCCAAGGACCAAGGAAGCTACCCTGGGTGAAGGTTGAATTGTTTGAGAAGGCCTGGAATGATCTGCCCGACAAGTAGTTTTTGATGATCTTCACGAGGTAGATCGGAAAGTTGTATCGATGCAGCTTGTACACTAGGCCATCATTCCAGACATTGTCGAACGCCTTCTAGACGTCCAACAATGCCATGGCAGATATATTGGAAACGGACTTGTTCCGCTTGATAATGTTAGTAACCCGGGCGAGTTGGTGGATGGTAGAGTGAACTGCTCTTTGAGAAAGATGTTATTATCATTTGAAAACACCAGCAGACGGCTGAGTATCAACTTTTCGAATAGCTTCGAGATGGAGGACAAGAGGCTGATGGGGCGATAGCTTTTGGCACTGGTAGGTGTAGAGTTCAGTAATATTATGCGTTATGCAGAGGTACGTCTCTGTTTTTTTTTTATTCAGGGGGGAATCTGCTCACAGACACCTGAGAAGGAACTCAGGGTGTGGGGATGGGAGAATTTCACTCCCGACCCACTAAATCTTACCCTGTGCGCTTGGCCCTTGACCTCCCCGGAATCGCCCGAAGGCATTACTTCGTGGGAGGGGCCGCTATAGCGCTATGGCGCTTCTCTAGCAATACTCTATCGATCTAGTCGGGCAGTAGGCAACTGCTGCTCGGCACGCCACTGTCGTTGTAGTTCCGAAACTATGTGGGTGACCGCAGTCACCACCGCGCTCCAGTTCTCGGTGGTACCACACATCCTAGGGACGATGTTATCCGGACTGGTATCCGCTCCGCATATCGCTAGCATAGCGCTCGATACTGGCTCGAAGCGTGGACAGCCGAACCAGTGGTGGCACGAGTCCTGGAGTTAAACATTTTTTCCTTAACATTTGATACTTTTTGCGATAACCATTGTGACGACACACAAAAACAAACTGGCAAGCGGCAAAAATGTCATGACATTTCTAAACTATTTTCTGCCAGCGACAGAACATTTTCGCACAAAGAAGCAGACAAGACCGGCGGCGCGCGCGACATAAATTTATGTCGTGTAGAATTTTGCTGATTTCTGGCTAATTACTGCATTTATTTGATGTTTATTGCATGGAATTAAAAGATAAGAATGAAGACTGACCACTCATAAGCATTGATGTTAAAATTATGCGTAAATAAGGGAGTTGGTAATTTACTGTCACACGCAAGCTTGCAGCTAAAATTTCATTACAATAAACTGTTTGGAAAAATCAGGCTGCGAGATTTTATTTATTCTCTATCTCCGCTGTTCGCTTGGAATGTAGTTATAAACGGCCGCCCGTGTGCTGGCTGTTTTGTTTCGCTCTGGACGATGGTTTTTCAAAAAATGTAGTGTTGCCACCTCTGAGCCGAACACAACATGTGCGGCGGTCTCTTCGACTCCAGCACACGTGGGGCAGATGGGAGTACTTCCATGTCCGAACCTATACAAATAGCTTCTAAAGCAGCCATGGCCTGACAGGAACTGTGTCAGGTGGAAGTTTACTTCCCCGTGGCGCCTGTTGACCCAGCTTGATACGGAAGGTATCAAGCGGTAAGTCCACCTCCCCTTTGTGGAGTTTTCCCACTCCGATTGCCATCTCGCGGTCGACACAGCTCGCGCGTTGTTGCGCACCCCTCGAACAGTCCTCGCGTCATAGCACACCACGTCCTCCTTAATGATAAGGCTGATTGGCATCATCCCTGCTATGACACAGACGGCCTCTCTCGAGATAGTGCGGTATGCACTGGCCACCCTCAAGCACATTAGCAGGGTGTTGACTACCTGGAAAAACCTGGAAAGTCAGGGAATGTCAGGGAATTCTATTTATGATCTGGAAAGTCAGGGAATGTCAGGGAATATTAGTGTAGGTCAGGGAAAAAAAATGTTGATCAAATTGCTAAAAATTATGTGTGGGACACATAAAACAATCTTTGAAATTTTATCAGTGCATGACGTCAACGTTTTTGGGAAGATCCCGGGCATCAGATCTACTCGCTGCGTTTATGGACGCCCTTGCCAGTATCTCTTCGAACAAGTTGCTGCAAGTGTCCATGGATGGGCCCAATGTGAATTGAAGCAAGAGGTACAAAAAGGTGGCGAGAAGCTGATAGATCTGGGAAGCTGTGGGCTGTATATTTTGCATAATACATTCAAGGATAGTGTTTGCAGTATCAGTTGGGATGTTTTCAAATATTTGCGTGGTATCCACAATATCTTCAAAGATGTACCTTATCGCATGTCAACGCCAATGCAGAGAGAGGTTTTTAGGTAAATCTAGATAGATCTGGAATTAGGGCGTAACAGCTTTTGTAAACAATGACTTCTATCGACGATTTCTAGGAACTCAATGCACGCCCACGCAAACCAACATAACCGTCGGGTAGGGGAAACCTTTTATGGTGCTGTTGATTTGCGTTGGTGAGCCTTAACTTTCTAGCAATCATCGAAAGAAGTCATTGTTTACAAAAGCTGTTACGCCCTAATTCCAGCTCTATCTAGAAATGCAGAATATCTTTTTGAAAAAAAAAAAAATAGCATCAGCATCAGTCCAGCATCAAAATGAAAGCATATTGAAATCAAGTTTTGATATCAACATCAAACTGAAATCGTAATTTGA